CTTTCAAAATGGCTATGCTATCTGTCTTACTCCATCTTCATAGGAAGAAAGCAAATGACCCCAAAGCTCATTAAAATTGGAATCTTTTTCTAAAAATCAAGCTCCAGAGCAAGTAGTAGGTTTAATAAGAAATCATTTACTATACTCTCAGCATTTGAAGCACACTATAAAAACAAATGTATGAGAATGTAATCCTCACTAGGGCAATGGCTATCAATTCTGGCTGCATACTAGAATCACATAGAGAGTTTTTTAAAAAGAAAGAAGAAATGCCTGTGTTCTACTCCAGACCAAATAAATCAGAAAGCATAATTGAAGAAAAAGATTGAGTTAAGTTAAATAAGTCATTTTTGTTGGTATAGACTCAATATCAGAAAAGCTGTGAGAAGATCAATATTGTCTCTAAGAAGTTGCTATGAAATTCACAGACTCAATTCCAAACATATGATTAATAATGGAAACTACTCAGGCCTGATTTACATTTCTAAGTTTGGCTCTATTGTTCCATTGTTCATATAATTTTGATTTCTTTGGTGGATAGTCCAGTTTAAAATATGATGGCCCCAAATCCATATTTAATGTAGATTCTCAGCTTTTAGTCTTTTGTGTACGATGGTCACCATTTTTTGCCATTAAATACCCATACTACTGTTTGCTTATTATGTTTCTATAAATAATTTTACAATTTTTATGTAAATACATGTATTTTAAAAGGAAACTTTATATCACTATCTTGAATAGAAGAATATCGGTGTCACATTCCAGAAATAGAAGATCAAAATTAAAATAAATTCAATGAAAATATTTTATTTGAGTCCCATTGTCTGTTAAAAAGAGAAATTATCAAGTGTTTAGATGAGCATATCAAGTATTAGATTAGCACATTAGTACCAAACTGAGGTCATTTCCTTGAAGTAATCAGAGGATTTAAACAAAATTGAATAGGGAATATCTTTTTCAATGTGTACTAGGGTTATTTAATGCTCCTAATAATCTGATACCTTTCCGATACTTTGAGAAAGTCCATAATTGATAGGAGATGCTAACATTTGGATCTGTAATAAAAAAGGTGAATATGCTTCTGAATTGTTTGAAGTTTTAACAATAAAGCTATTTAGTTGCTTAAATTTTCTAAATCCAATTAATTAACTTAGAATTTAGAAAGAAACCTAAGTCTTTTCACATTCTTCTTGATATTCTTTGGGTTAAAGGCACTGGAATTTCTTCAGAGTTGGCTTCTGAAGGATCTACAAATTGATAGTATTCACCTGGTTTATAGATCAAAGAGAAGAAAACATCTAATAAAATGTTGATAACAATGTCTCCCTGTTTTGACTTAAAATTTGGGCTGCTATGCCCTGCTGGTGGCTCAGTGGATTGATCATTGCCCAATGGACTAAGAAGTTCCAGTTCCATTCAGGGCACATGCCCAGGTTGTGGGCTCAATCTCCAGTAGGGGGCGTTCAGAGGCAGCCGATCAGTGTCTCTCTCACGTTGATGTTTCTATCTTTCCCTTCCTCTCTCTCTCAAAAATCAATAAAAAACTTTTTTTTTAAATAAAAAAGAACACTTCTTTAAAAAATAATTAGGGATGTTATAAATGCATTAAAAGAAACTAAAGCATCCTTTATGCTATTGCTATGCTGTAACCTAAAGTTTGTATTTTAAATTTGATGTTTTTCTTGGGTTTTACTTAAATTATTTATAAGCAGTACCTTCAAGACCCACATCCATTGATCAGTTTTATCTACTAAAATTCATGTCAGTGTTTGTTGAATAAACTTTGAATTTTTTTACCCATTGTCTATCTCTCCAGATATCTACGTGATGATGTTCCATTGGTTAGTCCCTTTAGTCTTTGTCTTGACCCACTCAGTTACAAATATTCTGATCTTTTAAAAACACTAACAGATACACATTCTTATAGTACCTTTCCTCTGGCTTCTCCTCAAATCTTCTCTCTCTGTGTTTTCATCAGTAAATTTTATAAAATAGTTCTATGGTAGTGGTCTCTGCTTCTGGTACCCTACAATCTCCCGATCTCTCTCTGATCAGTCAGACTCAGTCATTCTCAGACTTCCACTGCCTATTCTGTAAATACTGTTCTCTCCTTATTCTACAGATACCATTTTCTTGTGCTTCAGGAAGTCTGTTGAGCCTCAGATTTTGGGGGTAGGGGTTGCAGTGAAGAAGAAAACTTAAATGGAGACAGCTTAACAGTGATAACAACATGGCTGTGAAAACAGCCCTATCATTGGACAGGTCTGGGGTCAGGTGGCTCAGGGGCCATGTCCCTCTCTGGCTAGCCAATTCTGTTCTGCTCCTGAATGGTTGGCTCTGTTCTGTCCAGTACTGGGCTGCTTTTTGCTGGGCTGGTCTGCTTTGCTCTGCTTTGGCAAGACATCTTTGGTGTTTCTGCTCAGCCAAGAAGACATAGTCTTCGCTTTTCTGTGGAAACGGAGAGTGCATTCTGAGCCTCAGATTTTTATACCCTGCCTCTTTCTCTGTCTTGAGCACTAGACTTAAATGTCCAGGTATCTCAAACCAGAATATCCCCAAATAAGCTCATTTCCAAAACTATTCCATTCACCTATACACCTTATAAAGGTATCAACTCCCAACTAGTCATCTAAGCTAGTGCTTCACGGTCTACCTTGGAATTAATTATCTTTGCCCCTCTTTCATACACCATTAGTTGTCTTTTTTTTTTCACTTCATAGATCTTCTAAATCCATGCTCTTTTCTCCATCTTCTCATTTCAGAATCTAGCTTTATGGTTTAGTACCTCATCATCTCTTGCCTGAATTATTATAGGAGTCTTCTGTGTATCAACTTTCAATTTCTGTCTCCAGTATTTTCTACACACTAGTTATTTTTATTATTTTAATTTTTAGTTAATTACCCAAGGATATTTTTCCATTTATCTTTAGATAGAGTGGAAGGGAGAGAGGGAGAGAGAGAGAGAGAGAGAGAGAGAGAAAGAGAGAGAGAAACATCAATGGGAGAGACACATCAATCGGTTGCCTCCTGTATGACCCTGACAAGGGGCAGGGAGTTGAACCAGCAACCCAGGTATGTGCCCTTGACCAGGAATTGAACCCTCAATCTCTTGGTCCACGGAACTACACTCTAACCGCTGAGCCAAATCATTCAGGGCTAGTTATTATTATTTTTTAAATATGTTTTTACTGTTTTTGTTTTTAGAGAAGGGAGAGAGAGAGATGTCGATTGGCTGCCTCCTGCACGCCCCATACTTGGGATCGAGCCTGAAACCTGGGCATGTGCCCTGATTGGGTATTGAACTAGGATCTCTCAGTCCATGGGATGCTGCTATTTCTCTGTTTAAACTCCTTTCATAGCCCGGCTGGTGTGGCTCAGTGGTTGAGCATCGACCTATGCACCAAGAGGTTGCTTGTTCGATTCCCAGTCAGGCACATGCCCATGTTGTGGGCCTGATCTCCAGCGGGGGGAATGCAGGAGACAGCCAATTGAAGTTCTCTCTCATCAATGTTTCTCTCTCTCTCCCTCTCCCTTCCTTTCTCTTTAAAATCAATAAAGGGAAAAAAGGATTTTTAAAAATGAAGTAAAATCTTTTGTAGAAAAATCTTGTCAATATAGTTTTAAGTGAAAGAAAAAGAAACAGTGCGTATGTTTAAAATGTGGTATCTACTTAACAATAACCAAAATGATAGGTCACATTTCCTAAATGCCAGGCACTTTCATGTGTCACTCATGTATCTTCACAATAACTCTGAGGTAGATACTAACATTATCCTAATTTTACCTATTAAGAAATAAGCCTCGTCTGGCCAGTGTGGCTCACTGGTTCAGCATCGGCCCCATCCACTGAGATCGGTGGTTCAGTTCCCAGTCAGGGCACATGCCCGGGTTGTGGGCCAATTCCCCAGAGGGGGACATGCCGGGGGCGGCCAATCAGTGTTTCTATTTCTCTCCCTCTCTCTCTCTTTTCCTCCTCCTCTCTAAAATCAATAAAGAAAAAATGTTAAAAAAAAGAAAAGAAAAGAAATAAGCCTAGATGTTTACTTGTTGTTAAGGGTCACATAGCTGGTAAGTCAGAGCCTTGCCCTTAATTCTGACTATATCCTCCAAGTTACTTACTTTTTACACATACATATATATTTTTAGTCACAAGAAATAAAGGAAACATCAAAATGTCAACTGTAGTTAATGCTAAATGGTGGGATCTGAGTATTTGTGATATAGTCTTCATATTTTTCTATATTGTCTACAATGACAATATAATCTTACATAATAAAAGAAGAAATATTATTTCATTTAAAAAAAATCTTTCATGATTTCCAATATTCAATGGAATAAAGACTGGCAGCAGGGAAAGAGGAAGACCAAATATGAGATGGATTCACTCTATAAAAGAAGCCATAGCTATGAGTCTGCAGGAGCTTCGTAAGGTTGATGCTTACAGGTTGTAAATATCACTCATTCATAGGGTTGCCAGGAGTTGGAACCCACTCAACAGCGTGTAACAACAACAAAGTCTAAATTACTTTATACAGCACAGAGTCCTTTGCCATCTGTTCCCAGTCTACATACTCAAAATTTAGTTATACATTGAAATGTTTTTTGTTTTTTTTCTTTTTGGACCTTGATCAGAAGGACTTGGGCCCCTGAAATGTTTAAAAAAAGTCTTTTTCTTTATTGATTTTAGAGAGAGAGGGAGAGAGAGATAGAAACATAGATGAGCGAGAACATCGATTGGCTGCCTCCTGCATGCCCCTCACTGGGGATTTAGCCCACAACCTTGGGCATGTGCCCGGACCAGGAATAGAACTGGCAACCTCTTGGTGCATGGGTCAATGCTCAACCACTGAGCCATACCAGCCGGGCCTGAAATGTTTTTAAATGACTGTAGCCAACCACATGAGGATAAGAAACAATAATTTTGGGATCCCTTTCTTAAGGCTACATAGTTGTCAGATTATTAAATGTTACGTTTTAATGTCTGACTTCATGATTTTTAGGATGCCAGCCCTGTTGTGATTGAACCATCATCTCTTCTGAATGGAGGAAAATATTCATTTGGAACAACAGTACATTCTGTAGAGCAGAGTGAAGATAGAATCGGAGGAAGCAGCCTCAGTTATGTGAACACCACAGAAGAGAAATTTTCAGACAATATTTCTACTGCATCTGAAGCCTCAGAAACGGCTGGCAGTGGTAAGTATGACTTGTTTTCCGTGAGATTTAGGTCAGTTCTTAAAGGAGTATATTTTGTCAGAGTGTGCTTGGTAGGATGTTGGTCATCAGGTTTCCATCCACAAAAGTAAGTTTTGAATGAAATGGTTATTCATAAAATTCTTGAAACTATTTTCACTGATTAAGCCACATTTCTCCAAATTGCTACTAAATTTTTTTGCCAATAAATTTAAATTAGGGAATTAAAAATATAAATTTCTGTTTTAAGGACTCTAACTATAAGCATACTTTCATTGGATTACATGCACCTTTGTATCAAATTCTACAGACACATCAGGTGGTATTTGGGGATTGTTTAGTTAAAATATTAAGAAACAATTCATAATGCTTCCCACAATTCCCTTCAGTCCTTGATACCTAAAACTTTGTGTTTCTACTCTAAGTTAGGGAAGATGAGAAAGATGCTTTGGTGTTTTTATGGCCCAACTAAATTGATTTCTATATTCTGCTGATACAAAGACAGGACTCTCAATCTTACTCTGTTATTTCATCTTTGAGATCTTTTATTTATTTATTTTTTGTGGAGGGAGTAGGCAAATTGGACAGAGCTAGCATTTTCTCTAGGAAACTAGAATTTACTACTTTTCTTTCCCCATCTGACATTACAAAGATCACTTAGCAGTCCTAGGAGTGCTTTCTCTGATTGGCTTTCCCACCAAGATTATTTCTTAACCTTCCTTTTGATATATGCTCACTCTATAACTTGTGTCATCTGTAGGCTGAGCAGTGCCACACTTAGAAGGTTCAAAGTGACTGATGTCTAGAATGCTTACCTCAGATTAACATGTAGTTGAGAGTTGAAATTTCTTAGAATATCATTGAAGTTTACAACTCTTAAGTTGTCATTAATCGTTTTTCTGTGTGTCTATTTCTATTGTAATGTTAAATAATGTTTTCCTTTCAAATATATTTATTAGGGAACAGTTTTGTCCCCCCAGCATTCTTCTATTGAAGTTATAATTTTAGCTCCTTCCCTTTGGTTTAGACTTCTTATCACCATTATCTACCAAAAATATTTGGGATGTGTTTACAGGTAGAAGAGTAGAATTATACGAGACTATGTTAGAGCCCAGCTACTTGGCTATACTTCTTCCTTTCCTACCAGAGGAGATATAATTCTTCTTGTGAATTATCAGATATTCTAGCCAAATATTCTGGCCAAATGTTTATTTGGCAACAGTTTTTGTTAATCCTCACCTGAGGATATTTTTCCATTGAATTTCAGAGAGAGTGGAAGGGAGGGAAGGAGAGAGAGAGAGAGAGAGAGAGAGAGAGAGAGAGAGAGAGAGAGAGAGGTGAGAAAGACACATTGATCAGTTGCCTACTGAAAAACTCTGATCGGGGCCGGGGATAGAACCTGCAACCCAGATATGTACCCTTGACCAGAATCGAACCCATGACCCTTCAGTCCACAGGCCAACACTGTAACCACTGAACATACTGGCTAGTTTTTATTCTGCCTAGTGTTATGCAAGATATTGTCCAGAAAGGAGGACATCTGTATTTACTATCTTCTACAGATTTATTAGAATCTATGTACTGACATGCCAACAGGATAATAGCATTAACCTAATTCATGGACATTGAGTTATATATCGTCAAGCCTATTTATGTATAATAACTAAAAATGCAGAGATTTATCCTCTATTTTCTTACAGGCTTTTTGTATTCTGCCACACCAGGGGCAGATATGTGCTTTGCTCGACAACATAACACTTCTGACAATAACAACCAGTGTTTGCTAGGAGCCAATGGGAATATTTTGTTGCATCTCAATCCTCAGAAACCAGGGGCTATTGATAACCAGCCACTAGTAACTCAAGAGCCAGTAAAGGTATGTAATTTGACATCTACTTAAAATCATTCTCTTTCAGATTACTAATAAATTTTACTCTAGAGGTTTTAGCGCATAGCAAAACATTAGTGGTTCATTTAATTAACCTGGATGGAAATCTCTGTGCATAGTATATTTCCATGAGAATATTCTATGATTTAGTACTTGCATAGAAGCAGTGTAGTGGTCCTTGGAAATGTTCTTATTCTTATTTAGAACAGCTACTGTGAAAATGTAGTTTCACCTGTATGTGGAGTTTTTCCCCCAAAATAATATAATATATTGTCTGAGAGAAATCTGTGAAAACAAATATTATTATTTGCAAATTATCTGACCATTTTTTTTAAGTGATTTATTTTGAGGTTCCTTTCTTAAATAGTTTATTTTGAAAATTAAAAATAAAATCTCTTGTAGACAATTTGTTTTTTTTCCCCAGAAACATGAAACTGAGTAGTGACATGAAACTATGTGTGTGTTCTTCTGTGTCTAGATTTTGTTAAAACAAAAGAGACTGTAATATTAAAAATCAACATTTATATTTTATTCTTATAAGGCTACATCATTAACACTAGAAGGAGGTCGATTAAAACGAACCCCACAGCTGATCCATGGAAGAGATTATGAAATGGTCCCAGAACCTGTATGGAGAGCACTTTATCATTGGTATGGGGCAAACCTGGCCCTTCCTAGACCTGTAAGTATAGCTAGTAGTGCCTTATATAAGGAGCAGTTATAGATAAGGTCTTCTATTAGTTTTATTTATTTTTTTAAATCCTCACTTGAAGTTATTCTTCTGTTTATCTTCAGATAGAATAGAAGAGAGGGAGAAAAAGGGAGAGAGAGAGAAACATCTATGTAAGAGGGACACATCGAATGCTTGCCTCCTGCATGACCCCGACCAGGGCCAGGGATGAACTGTAACCGGGGCACGTGCCCTTGACCAGAATCGAACCCATGATTCTTTGGTCTGCAGCCGACGCTCTAACCATTGAGCAAACTGTCCAGGGCTGTATTACTTTCATATATGAACCTCACTATCCACATAATTAGTTCTTACTTATTAGTTCTTATTTATTGGTAGCAGACTACTTAATACCTGTTCCAATCAGTTGAACACATTTTAGGTTTCTTCTCATTCATTCATTTTTTTCGTGCATTTGAGTGCTATATTAGGTAGCAGCCATACAATGATGTGCCTATGGGAGTGGGTGGCTTTTATGGAGTGGAGGTAATAGTCAGTGGACTAAATAAAATCAATGACTCATTAGCTAGGCTATTAAATAAGTCATCCACATAAATGCAGATATTAGGATAATGCAGGAGTTATGCTAGAGCAGAAGTCAGAGCCTGTGCCAAGAATGTAGGGGAAGTGGTGCATAGTTTATTTCTGAAACTGTTTTTCCCATTAACCACAAACATTCAGTGAGGAATCAGGTTCATCTTCTAGCTGTTGGTAGATTTTTGTTGTTAGTCTTTTTGAAGGAGGGGCATAAGAAAGATCATAATATATGATAACAGGAATTCAAAACTAGTGAATGAATTCTGATTGTTGCCATTACTAGGATGAGTTATTTAGAGCTTAAATAAAATCCTCTGAAGTAATTTAAATGGCTTAGAGAATATAATACCAAATTTTAATGATTTAACTATGCAGCATCATTTGATGTGCTTATATAATAAACAGCAGGTCTCGTTACCCTGAATACTTATTACATTGTCGATGCTGTAGAACACTTTATTTATTTTTTTTTTAAATCCTCACCCGAAGATATTTTTCTACTTATCATCAGATAGAGTGGGAGGGAGGAGAGAGAAGGAGAGAGAGAGAAACATCGACATGAGAGACACATCAACTAGTTGCCTCCCGCACAACCCTGACCAGAGCCAGGGATGAACCACAGTCAAGGTACGTGCCCTTGACCTGAACTGAACCCACGACTCTTTGGTATGCAGGCCAACACTCTAACCATTGAGACAAACTGGCCAAGGCTAGAATACTTTTTAAGAAGATTCTTTTGGCCCTGGCCGGTTTGGCTCAGCGGTTAGAGCGTTGGCCTGCAGTCCAGAGAGACCCATGTTTGGTTCCCGCTAAGGGTATGTACCTCTGTTGCAGTTTGTCTCCGGCCCTGGTTGGGTTGTGCGGGAGGCAGCCACTCGATGTGTCCCTTTCACGTCGATGTTTCTCTCTCTCTCTCTCCCTCCCACTCTATCTGAACAAAAAATGGAAAAATGTCCTCGGGTGAGGATTTAAAAAAAAAAAGATTCTTTTGATATATCAAGAAACACTGTCCTTTATATACTGTCCATGCTAGAACTTTCTTATACCATGAAGGTTTTGCATAGGTGAGATATGTTAGATCACTTCCAAAAAGAGTAATTTTGACACTGATTTTGAATTATTAATAATTTTTATAAACATAATTATGTTTATTAAAAGTTATGTTTAAGTAGAATCAGGAATTAAGTGTTTGTGTTTGTTGTCTCCAAAAGGTTCCTACTGTATTTGGCATCAGGACTCCTAGATAAATAACATATAAATATAAATACATAAATATGAATATCTGTAAATATAGATATGTATACATATATATAAATTATTTATTTATTGGAAGGTGGAGTTGTCCTTGAGTTAGTCACTTAACTTCTGGGACTTTCGTGCTCTATAGTCTATATTTGTAGAGGAAATATTGTAATAATTGTGTTTGATATACATAATTTAATGTTTTAGAGCCTGCCTGGATTCACATTAACAGAGTTTCAATTTCTAAATCTTAGTTTCTTCATCTGTAAGATGGAGACAATAATAATATTTCCTCATTAAAGTTGTTTTAATAATTAAATAATACATATGATTAGCACTGCATCTGATTCATGGTAAATGTTGTCTATTACTAATATCATCAATATCATTATAATTATTAAATGAGGTTT